GGGGAAGTGGGAGGGGTAGGGGAAAGGAAAGAAGGGAATGGAATTAATATGAGAAAATGAAAAAAAGGAAACAAAGTTTTTGTAAATAGGGAGGGATGGAGGGGTTGAAGGGAGAGCAGGGGAAGGGAAAAAAATAAGAACCAAGAGAATATGTAAAGGTGCAAATTTCCAATGATGAATGTTATTATATTGTATACCTAAAATGTACCAATAAAAGGATATACAGAAAAACAATAAAAACCATTTTTTTAAAAAAGCAAATGTGGTATCTATACAGTATGGAATACTACTCACCTATAAAGAAGGACAAACTCAAGACATTCATAGGAAAATGGATGCACCTGAAAAATATAATGTTGGGTGAAATAAATCAGAAACACAAGCTCAAATACCATATAGTATCTCTAATTTGAGTAAGGCAAAGTGCAACTTAAGGGTATAATAAAGGCTGGGTAGAAGGAAACAAGGGGACAGATCTCTTACAAACAGGAAGGAGTCCAGGAGACCAGGGTGAGGGGAGAGGGCTTGGGAACTGGGAAATAAGTAGAACAAAGATATGCCATGTACAGGATCCTAATGACTTCAAGGAATGTAAACGTTGTATGTCATAAACATGAGCTAAGGTTAATAATATCAACAAGAACAAAAATGAGGAAAGGGGATTCAGAGGAGGAGGAGGGAGGGAGGCAGGAAGGGGAAGGAAATTTTAAAAAAAGAAACTAGCTGCATTTTGTACATGTATTGGCTCCCCAAGATGAATGTAAAGTTCATGTACTAAAAACTTGTATTAATAACAAAAGTGAAATTTGTATTGGCCATTGAAAGGACATAATGAAGAACAATTTTTTAAAGGATGATAGTGGGATCAAACAGACCAAGAAATTAATAAACAATTGAAAGTTTCGAAACAGCATCACCTATATATCTAAGTTCATCTACCTAAGTGTTGTGCTTTAAATCAATAGGAAAATGATAAATTACTCAGCATTTGCTGTTGTGTGTACTGACTCATCATTTGTGTAGAAAAATAACGTTAGTTCCCTAAATCACAGTGCACAATCCAGTGAATTCCAAATGGATTAAGGAGTTTAATTTCTTCATACAATTAATAAATATTTACCAAGCACAAACTTTACAAGCAAGAAAGACTACCACAAGGCCACAAGGACACAACAGGCACTTCACCTGTTGTGGTCAGGGTTTGCAAGGGAATACATTCAATACAGAACACATAATTTTCAGGATTATTTTATAATATTCACTAAAAAAGTTAAATGCAGAGGTGTGCAAGAGATCTGTCCACACACTAGAGACCCAAAGAATGCAGCTGAGGGCCTGGATCCCATGGCAATGCCCCACACAAGTCCAGCTAAAGGCCTGGAGCCCCCAGAAATGTCCTCCATGAGTCCAGTCAGAGGCCTGGAGCCCACGGCAACGTCTCACGCAAGTCCATATCAAGGATCTGCATGGGAAAGACCAAAGGCCAGTGGTGGAAGCCAGAAAGCCTGTGCCGGCCAGGTGAAGGGTCTGTGCCACCAGGCTGAGGGATCTGCACTGGAGCCAGGAAGCGGTGCTCAAGGTAAAGACCAGAGCTCCCCTGGAAAGAGCAGCAGCCATCCCTAGCAACAGGAAGGACTCGAGCTCCTCTGACAACAAGAACAGCTGAGTTCATATCAGGAAAACCACCCATGGCAAGCTTCTCCAGGAAAATCAACAGCATACACTCTTTCCCTCCAGTTCTCTTTTTCTGTCATTGGCAATAATTCTCAGGTGGGTCTTCCATGCCCAGAACCACGCTGACTCAGTTCAGTTGGGCATTCCAAGTTGACCATTAGTTAATCCACTACAGCACTCATGGCCACACAGGCCAGCTATGACCTAGCACTGCATTGTGGTGACTTCAGTGGGATCAAGTTGTTCTACTGACAGAAAGCAGGGTCCTGTCACAGCTACTGCAGCACCATGGAAGAATTCACGCCCCATCTCCCACTGGTCTCGTCTGGTGAGCAGGGTCACCAGGTGATCGCCTTTTGGCTTTGACCTCTCCCTTTGTCATAGCAGGTTTTGGTGGTTTCCTACTCACCTTCTGAAAATATTGGGTGAGGAGTTAATCAGGATGAAAATGTTTCACATCCAACTTCTTCAGCATCTATGGGAAGATGCTAAAAATAAAGAGCCAAAGGTTCACAAAAAGATGGAGGGGATCTCCCAGAACATAGAGCAAAGGTAGCAATAACTAGATCATATGTCCTGCCACCCTGATAATTACCTTCATCGGGGTCAGAATCAAGGAGAGGAGAGAGATTTACCTTAAATTCTCTCTCTCTCTCTCTCTCTCTCTCTCTCTCTCTCTGCCTCTCTGTTGCAACTAGGATATTACCTGAAAGGTATGCTCTGAGGTGTGGCACATGTTTAATAAAACTACCTCCAATTCTACCTTCCAATTGTTTCTACCTTAATTGACATTGCAACCACGGCACAGACATCAAAGTTCTGCTTGCACAACTAGCTATTTAATTACCTCTTTGATAATGTCAGGAATGCACAAAACAGGAGTTCTGACTGGGGTTGGAATCAGGTAAGGCCTCCCTGAGGACATTTGAGAGTTCTGAATGGGAAACAGAAATTAAATAGATCAGGTGGCTTGGGCAGGAGCGAGCCCATGCTTAGAAGGTCATGTGGCTGGAAGGGCATGCCCTGCAAGGGACTGGAGGGTGGCTCGTGGGTAGGAAGAACCTGTCATGTGTTGTAGGGCAGCAGCCGGGAAGGTCCTATTAAGAATGTTCATCTCTATCCCCAGAGAAATGAAAAGCCACTGGAAGGCTAAACAAGAGGGAGGGGTGACCTGACTTCCATTTTGAATACATCTCTCTGTGCAGTAGCTTGGGAAATGGCAGAGCCCAGAAGCAGAAAGACCAAGGAACACTCTAATGAAACAGGATTAAAAGTGATGATGTGGGTGATCAAAATATGGGGGGGGGGGAGAGAGGTCGATCTTGATCTCCAGGGAGATCCAGAAAGGTCCAAAGAGGTAAAGAATATTTCAATGGTGAGCCAAAAGAGCTTGGGTGTCTATCTTCTCAGAGCAGTGGTACAGATGACCCTAACGTCCCTGGGCCAACCAGCGAGACAAAACATGGTACCATTTGCCATTCGTATACTCACATGGAAGAGGGGCCAGGTATGGCAGAAGGAGCACGGGGACAGACGCAGAGCATGAGTCTGGGTTTGGCCTCATGGGTTGATTTGGAAGTGTCTATGAGAGAGCTTGGGAGATGAAAGTGAGACAGTGGAGCATTTGGCCTTGAGCTTGGAGAAGAGTGGAATGGGAAGCAAACATGAAAACGATCAGCTCCTACATGGTCACTGAAGTCACAAAAGTGGTAGAGGTATCCTGGCAAGAAAATGCAGTGAGAAAATTAGAAACTAGAATGGAGTCTTGAGGAATTCTAGAATTGAAAGATTGGGCTAGAGAAAGATGTACACACAAAGAAGACCTAGGAGAAAGGGCAGGAGCAACATCTAGTGAGGGTGCAACTGAGCAGCCATGCGTAACTAAAGGAGGCTGGCTGTGCTCAGTGCCAAGAGAGCAGGGAAGAAGAAAATGGGAAGATAATCAAAGGGCCATTTTTAAATGGCACCAGTATTTTCCAACTCCGGGGTAGGGGTAGGGGGTAAAGGACAAGAAGAGAGAAGTAAAGCAAAATGGACAAGATGTACTATTTGTTGAAGATAGGTAATGGATTCATGTGAGTGTATCATTTTCATCTTTATGCATTTTTTAAAATTCCATAATAATCAAAAGAAAAGATGAGAACGGTGGGAGAAAAAAACTGATATAAAATTCGAAGGAAGGAATATTTCTTTCCACAATCAAGCCAACTCTTGAATAAAATGTTGCTTTGCAATTAAAAAAGTAAAAACACATACTAGATGCAAGAAGACTAGAAAATGAAACCATCCATATTTTCAAACAGGAAAGTAGTTACATATACTTTCATAGACTGGATGGAATCATTGAATGTTAATGGGTGAATATGGTGTTTATAAAGAATTTGTAATAAGTAAAAGTGAAGTGATTAAACTACTCAGGTTTTCTCTCCCACCAGTCCTCAATTTTACCATCTTGAATAGGCCATGAACTTCCTAGCTAGCTAGTCAAGCATTATTTATGGGTGTGTCTGGGTTTGTTGCTGGGAGATACTAACACTTGAATCAGTAGGCTCAGTAAAGTACGCAGGTCTCCCCAAAGTGGCTGGGCATCCTCCAATCTCTTTGACAGCCCAAACAGAACAAAGCAATAGAGGAAGTTTGAATCTGCCCTCCTGTTGAGCTGAAACATCCACCTCCTCCTACCCTCAGCACCCTGGGTCTCAGGCCTTCAAGCTCACATTGGAATCATCACTGTTGCTCTCTGACTCTTGGGTCTTCAAACCCTACCACCAGCTCTCCTGGATCTCTAGCTTATAGGCAACAGATCATGGGATTACAGCCAACATAGTGCCATGGGCCAGTATCTTATAATAAATAGATACATGATAGATAGATAGATAGATAGATAGATAGATAGATAGATAGATAGAAGAGTTTACATATGTCTTAGTCACTTTCTTGTTACTGGGACTCAATACTCAACACCAACAAATCAAAGGGGGAAAGATTTATTTCACATTTCAATCCATAGTGCCAGCTCTAAGGCAGATGGCATGGGAGAGGAGACCTGCTCACTTCATGGCAGACAGAAATCAGAGAGAGAGAGAAAGGCAGAGCCAGGGAAGGAGATACACCCTTCCAGGTCATGCTCCGGTGGTCATATCAAGTCAAATCACTCTCCATAAGCCTTGCCTCTGAGTACATGAGGCTTTGGGGACATTCAGATATAAGCCATAACAATATATATTTATATAATTCGATCTGTGTCCCTGGAGAACACTGACTAACACAGATTTCTGCCTTAGTTTAGGCTGTTACAACAAAGTACCATAGACTGGGTGGCTTTAATGACAGAAAATTTTACTTACAGTTCTAGGGAGTAAAAGTCAAAGATCAAGGCAGATTGGGTACCTGGAGAGGACCTGCTTGCTGGTTTGCAGACAGCTGTCTTCTTGTATCTTTATACAGAGGAGAGCAGAGAGCATGATTGTCTCTCTTATGTCTCGTCTTATAAGGGTACTAATCCATCCTTGTGAACTGACTACCCTCTAAGGCTCCAACTCTGAACATGATTCCACTAAGGATCTGGACTTCAACACAAAAGGTTTAGGAAGATGCCAAGTATGGTGACACATGCCTGTAAACCCAGCTACTCAAGATGCTGAGGAAAGTTCAAGACCAGCCTGGGCAACTGTATTAGTCATTTTCCCTGGGATATCACTGGGATAAAATATCCAACACTTAAAACTTAAAAGAGGACAGGTTTGTTTTGGCTCACAGTTTCAGTAGGTTCGGTCCACAGACAGCCAGCTCCAAGCCTGCATGGTGGAAGGGCCTGGTGGAGTAAAGCTGTTCATGTCATGGCAGCCAGGAAGCAAAGCCAGAGAAGAGGAGCCAGGAACAAGAATACACCCTTCTAGGTCACACCCCCAGTGACCCATTCTTTCTGACCAGGTCCCATCTGTGACCAGCACAATCAGCTATGAACTCATCAATGGACTAACCTGCTGATGAGTATAGTGCCACCATGATCCAATCACCTTCCAAAGCTCCACCTCTGAACACATGAGACTGTTAGGGGACTGGTTTTAGATATAAACTATAAGAGCAACTTAATGAGACCCTATGTCAAAATAAAAATGTTGAAGGGAAGAGGATGTAGCTTAATGTGAGACCTGGGGAAGGGGATGGGCACATTCAGTCCATGGTACTGTCAGTACTTTCATTAAATCATTTCATTTCCCCCCTTTCTGCTGACCAGTAATATCACATTGTTTCTTCCTCATACTTAAATATTTACCTGTAAATTTTCAAATGGTGTTTTTAAACTCCTGAAAAACATTGTTTTCTCAAATTAAGAATAGTGGTGTGTCCAGAATAAAATACAATCGTGGCTTTGCAGGAGGATTCTACAAAATTCTGCTTTTATTGACCATGACCTCATTCCAACTCAAAATCTGGCATCTGAGGAAAAAAAAAACCTGATTCATTAATCTCTTTTCAAAATTCTATTTAAATTATCCTCAAAATGTCCCATTCTCATCAATTCAGAGGAAAAAATGCAAATCAGTAATAAATATGAAAAATGTTCAGCACTCAACTAATCAAGAAAATGCAAATAAAACAACAAGGCAATATCTTTCATCTATCAAATTTTCAAATGCTTTTTAAATGCCAATACTGATGTTGGCCAAGGTGAGATACAATTCATATAATAGTGCTTGTGATAGCACAAAATGAAAAATGTTTTGACAAAATAAAGCAAAATTCTTACCAAATCATACACTTTGACCTTGTAAATTTTCTGCTAGAAGTCTTATTATAAAAAATGTGATCAAAATTTATGAGCAAAAATAATCAAGGTAGTGAAATAACAACAAAAACTGCCCACATCCTGCAGCTGATGTTGGTTATGGTTTTCAAGCTCTGATCAGCAAAGCCCTAGCATTAAATGCAGGGGAAATAAGTGAAGCCAGACTGTGGTCACATAGTTAGGACTCTGAGTCACACTTTTCTGCTTTTATCTACTTTACATGTTGAGTTTCAGTGAAGATTCACAATTTTTAAAAATAGTCTACCCTGGCTAGAATATAAGATCAATGAAGAATAGATCTATGAGTAATATGCTCTCAGAGTCTCAAAATCAAGCACAGTGCTTGGCTCATAGTAGGTATTTGGTAAACAGGTGATGCTTATTGTGAATTTAAGTATTTTTTTCCAGATTAAAAAAAGGTTTGACACACTACAAAATCAACATTAAAAATTCAATAGCTTTCCTATACACTAACAATGAACTAACTGAGAAAGAAATCAAGGAAACAATCCTATGCACAATAGCTTTGGCAGGGGTAGGGGGAGACTTAGGAATCAACATAACCAAAGAGATGAAAAACTATATTACAGTTTAGATCTAAAATATTCCCAAAAATTCTCATGTCCAGAGGTGGGCCTAGACTGAAGGAGCAGATTTCTGGGGGCATGACCTGGAAGGGCATATCACCCTCTCTGACACCTCCTTTCTTTCTCTGCTTCCTGGATACCATGGGATGAGCACCTTTTCTCACTGCCAGGGCCTTCTACCATACTGTTTCTGCATTTGAGCCTGCTGATTGTAGACTGAAATTTGTGAAATTGTGAGCCAAAATAAACCTCTTCTCCTTTAAGTTATGGGTGTCAGTTATTTTGTTCCAGCAATGAGAAGGATAACTAAGACAGACTTATACCATGAAAATTACAGAGCACTGAAGAAAGAATTTGAAGATACTAGAAGATGGAAAGATGGCCCGTGTTCATGGATAGGCAGAATTAATATTGTTTAAATGCCCATATTACAAAAAGGAATCTGTAAATTCAATGCAGTCCCTATCAAAATTCCAATGACATTCTTCACAGAACTAGAAAAAACAATCCTAGCATTCATATATAAATACAAAAAAACAAATAAAATCAAAGAAATCCTAAGCAACAAGAGCAAGGCTGGAGGCACCACAATATCTGATTTCAAACAATGCTACAAAATTATAGTAACAAAAACAGCATGGTACTTGCAGAAAAATAAATATATAGACCAATGGAATAGAAAAGAGAATCTAGGGCTGGGGAGTTAGCTCAGTGGTTTTGCCACCTGCTGCACAAGCACAAGGACCGGAGTTTGATCACAAAAAAAAGAGAACATAGAAACAAACCCCACACAACTATAACTATCTGATTCTCAACAAAGAAGCCAAGAGTTTGATCCCCGGTACAAAAAAAAAAAAAGAAAAGAAACCAAAACATACTTTGGAGAAAAGACTGCCTTTTAACAAATGGTGCTAGGAAAATTGGATATTCATATGTACAATACTGAAACTAGATTCCTACTTTTAACCCTGTACAAAAGACAATTCAAAATGGATCAAAGACCTAAGTATAAGATCTGAAACTTTGAAAATATTAGAAAAAAAAACATAGGGGAAACATTTGAAGCCATGGCACAGGCAAAGATTCCAGAATAAGACTCAAATAGCACAGGAAATAGCTAAAATCAGCAAATGGGATTACATCAAATTAAAAGTGTTTGTACAGCAAGGAAAAAACTAGAGTGAAGATACAGCCTACAGAATGGGAGAAAATCTTTACCAGCTCTCTTCTGACAGAGCATTAATATATAGACTATATAAAGAACTCAAAAAATGTAACATCAAAACATCAAATAGCAGGCTGGGGATTTAGCTCAGTGGCTCCACCGCCTGGCTTGCAAGCGGAAGGATCCAAGTTCAATCCCTGGTACCAAAAAAAACCCCATCAAATAGCAATAAGTAAATAGGCAGATGAGTTGAGTAGACATTTCTCAAAAGAAGCACAAATAGCCAATAAGTGTAAGAAAAAGTATGCAAGTAATGGAGAAAAATACTAATAACTCAGATTAAAACTAGTCATAATAGCACAAAATATGAGATCCTTCTAGTGTTCAAAAATTATTATCTGCTACAACAAAGGAATCACACACATTCCTGAAAAACTTCCCTACCTACATTACTGGTTATTTCACTTTCATCTTACTAGTTAGCATAGGGAAAATATCAACAAATATTTATGTTGGGATTATACTTGCTGTTCAATTGCAACCATAGGAGGGCTATGAGCACAAAAATTGGACACAAATCCACAAAAATATTCTTTGAAATCAATCAGCCAAATGAAATTTACAATGAAGTGTTGTATCTTTTATAATTATGTGTAAATTGTATGCTATACATTTGCATGTATTTTTTCCCAAAGAGCCAGTTGTTAAACATGTACCAGCACCCCACAGCCTGAAAAGTGATTTTTTTACAGAAGGCCACCAAAGTAAAAATGATTTTCAAATGTAGGCACAGCTGAAGTAGTCAGCGAGCTAGTTGGAAGAGAACACTACTGCAAAAATGTAGAGTGAAAAAGTCCCTCTTTGTAACTAGGGCTCAGAGGAAGTAAGCAGTTTTGTTTTGCAGCCTATGTGCAGGGAAATTCTCTGAGGTTGATTCTTCATCTCTCAGGCTCTGCCATGTGTAGAGAAAGAAAGTATGAAATGTGAGAGCGAAAGTTCAAAAGATAGTCTCTATAATTAGCTTAACAGGCAAATTAAGGTGCACAGATTCCCAGAGGCTCACACAGAAGAAGCGGGGCTCTGCCACATCTACCCGGTGCTCTGAACCTTCAGCTCAGCACCCAATCAAGTGCTCTCTCTCCTTTAATTAGATTGCGACTCAATATGGGAAACCAGATTTCCCTTGCAGGTAAGCAGTACTTTATAATTTTCCAAATACGTATTATTAACTCACTTGATCCTCACAATGGTCTAATGAAGAAGGAATGGCTATGTTTTAAAGAGAAAAAAATTTATACAGAAAACAGTTCTGTGTGATTAATTTAACCATGGTTTTAAAACCAAGCTCAAGAAAAATGCTTCTTTCAAATTGCCTATATTTCTTTGGAGGGTGCTCCTATCTGGTTTTTTCAACATTTCTGCATGACTTTGTTTAGGAAGCATTTGCCCTTCACCATTCTTCCTGGAAAAGAAGACAAAATCACCTGATTGCAATGAACTAAAGGGCAACCATACATTTCTTAAACCCTGGTGTCTGCCTTGCTGCTGAAAACTTCTGAGAGGTGAGAGGCGATCTCTTTTCTAGTCCTTGAGCTTCACTTCCTTCCTTAGTCCAGAAACTTGGACACAGCAGGTGGAACGCTTTTCCAGCCTGCCAGGAAGCACCACACTGGAGGTGAGTAAGCTGCACACTGCCGGAGAGGGCCTGAGCAAGCTCGCGAAGAACTGTGCCTCGCAGTCACTGAGCAGATAAGGTGTGGGGAGAGAGCAGGAGGAAGAAGAAAGAGAAGAACTCCCTGAATCTCTAGCACCTGTTCCAGGAACTTTTAGGGACTCTCTCCACTGAATCTGCAATCTGATGACATTGTCATTAGCTTCATTTTACAGAGGACAAAACTGAGGTTCAAAGAGGTTAATTTCTAGATGAATGACAAACTAGTTAAACCGGAGCTGTGACTTCAAAGACCATCCTTTACCACTGGACCAGTCAGGCTCGAAGTATCGGTCCCTAATCAGTTACGGTGGCATCCCTGGGGACTTGTCGGAAATGCAGATTCTCGGGGCCACCCCCGACCTGCTGAACAGAAACTACAGCAATCTGTGTGACGCACCCTCTGGGCGAAAATGTGAGATGCACTGTGTCCCTGCCCCAATCGACCTGACTGCAGGCCAGACTGTGTGTGTCTCCTCTGCAAAGGCAGCCAGAGACACCAATAAACAAATGAGCTGACTGCATTCCAATCAACTTTAATTACAGACAATGAAATCTAAATTTTATATCACTTTCATTGTCACAAAATATCCTTCTTGGGCCG